AATCCGCCGTCAACATAACATCCAACTAAATTAATTTTATTGTCATTTTATCAAAAAAATTTCAAAAAGTTGTCATTTAACTAATTTATTGTATGTTTTATTAGCCGGAAAAAAAAACAAATCATTTCTACCAATTTTGTGAATCATATGAAAACATTTTTTTTTTTTAAATTATACCTTTTATTAGTTTTCTATTTTTAAAATTTACCTGTTATTTATTTGATTATGTCCAAAAATATTTTGTTATCAGTTATCCATTTAACTTCTTAATTATATTAATGAAATAAATTGTAGAATTTAATAAAACAATGCAAAACACATGTGATTGGATAAAAAGTTGGTCAACTTTTAATACTTTTTATAAATTGTTTGGTTAGTAGTATAACAAGCATAGAAATAAATCTTTTGTCTATGGAATAGAATCACATGTACTTTTTACCATTTTAATATAAGAATCCTGTGTTTTTATTTACTTATGTACTTGCTAATTAGTTTTGAATCAAATTTAACCTGTTAAATCACATTTTTATGATTTCTGATTATGTGGAATTGTTTTCTATACTAATTTCATGAAGTTTTTACCCATTTGGCCATTTCACATAAGCAAAGTGATTAAATCAATCTTTTTGTCAAACAAGTTTGGAATAACTAACATCAAATGTTTTTTCAACAAAAAAAAAAAAAGAACATCACAAATGGAATAATCCACATGGTAGACCAGAAACAGAAAATTAATATTTATTAATATTTACGAAAATATATAATAGAATTAATTACAATTTTACCAAAAGAAGATTATACTACAGACTACAGGAGCAAATAATACATTCCCTTAAAAGAAACAAAAGCAAAAAGTATTATTCTAAAACTCCCAAAAGTGTTTAGATTAATTGCCCACAAATAATCAACCTTCCCATTAATATCCTTCTTAAAATAGACATTTATTATTCTTAAAATTTAATTAGCATTAAATCGTCTTACCTTTTAAACCTTCCTTGCAATGTTTGACTTCTTTATATGATTAGTTTATATCTATAAGAATAAATTTATTTGCTTTTATAGGAAAAAACTTATCCAAAAACATAGTATGAAATAAATTCATGCACGTACTCATAGAGTAACTAAAATC